TAGGCCGTGGGTCGAACCAGCCCTCGGTCGAACGGCCACTTGTCGAAGGACGATAGATTTTGGAACAGAACTATGCTATATGAAACCTAACCTCAGATGCGGTGAACGTAAAATTAAGTAATTTAACGATGCCCGGAAGTCAGATTCGATCCGCGGCCTGGTGGTGCACGGCAGGTTCTATGCGAGGCCGGAGGAAGACAAAGCCGAGTGGTTCACGGCTGATTGGTGGATGTCCGAAGAGATCCAAGGCGTTCGATTCAGGGCTTATTGGTGCACAAAATTGGTGGTGCACGGCTGCGCTCCCCGTTTCCCTCGATTCCCAAAGACTTCACTTTACGCAACAGCCGTTCATGCGGAACACTGTCAAATGCTTTGACAAAATCGGGGTACAATGCATCCACTGGCTCCCTTTCGTCCAGCAAGCGAGTCTAATCGTTCAACATAGATAATAAGTTAGTGGTGCAGGAACTACCGGCAATAAAACCATGTTGACAATCTGATAGGAGATGGTGAACAGTCAAGTGATCGACAATCCTATCCCTCATAACAGATTCCATTAGCTAACAAATAGCACATGTCAGGCTGACAGGGCGACAGCTGCCCGTGCTGCTTTCGTCACCTTTTTGAACAATGGTATTACTTGAGCTTCTTTCCAGTCGGACGGCAAAGTTCCTTCGTTCAAGGGTTTTTTGAAAGAATGCTGTCAATGGGCCGGCCAGAACGGTTGCTAATTCTTTGAGCAATTTGTGATGGAAGCCGTCTGGTCCACAAACCTCTTCTTCGTGTATTTCAAACCCTGTTAACTTCGAGCCGGTTGGGCGCTCCTCAATATCTGGAATACTGTTCAAGTTCTCATCTGTGAACACACTGCTGAAGAATCAATTTAGAACGTTAGCCTTGCCCTCATCAGAGGAAATCTTTCGTTGGTCTACTTTCAAATCAGATATACCGTCCTCTGACTTACACTTCGAACTAGCGTGCAAAAAGAATGCTTTCGGATTCGTTTTTTTGCATTTTTAGCAATATTTTTTTATTTCTGAAGTTTTTTACTGCAGTGCGACAGACTTTTTAGCTTGATTTCGAGCTCATGCATACAGGTTATCATCTATGGTGAAGATATTTGGGTAAAGATCGTGCGGTTATGATGATGATAATGACATTTTTGGGGTGACGGTTGTGAATGTGACAGTGTTGTGTGATTGTGGTAGAGCCTAGAGGTAACAGTGTTGGGTTGTTGGTGGAATCTCTGCGAGTTCGTAAATAACGCTTGTAGGCTTCTTTCTTGGTCATTAGCTGAGCTTTAACTGTACTGTTCATCCACTGGAACTTTTTTGACTCCTCCAAGCGTAATCTTAGGTACACAGACATCAACTGCAGACATAACCGTGTCTTTGAGAAATGACCACGAATCAGCCACATTCATGTCCTTAATACCGTCCGAAATATTAGTCGCATTCACCGCTTCACGGAGTTTATCATAGTCGCCTTACGCAAAGTTCAAACGTTCACGCTTTCGAAGCGTCTTATCTGCACAGCACTTGATACTGAAAAGCAATGCTTGGTAGTGTCTTTTGGCCAACGGAGCCTCGTGACAAAGCTCATCTATCATTGATTCTTCACTAGTAAACACTATATCTAGAATATTTGGGGTTTCTTTCCCCCTAAAATAGGTTGGCTTGGTAATGAACTGGATTAAAAATGAGTCTTGCACAGACTCCAAGAACAGGGATGCTGAATGATTGATTCTCATCTCTTGGATAAGATTCATCTGCCCAGTCTATTTCTGGATGGTTAAAGTCACCAGCGATCAACGTATGAGACCTGCTGAAAGTCATGATCGGTAAAACTAAAACACTAAAAGGCTGTTTAGTACATTTATTGTTATCAGAGGAGCTGTTAGATGATCCATAAATGACCCATATAAAAAGGCTATTTTTGCCTTTTAGAGTAAGTTCGCACCACACTGATTCTCTAGCTAATTGATGCTCTGCAGATAACTTAACTTGCTGGGCCCTATAAGAGGTTCTAACCCACAGAACTACACATCTACTGCATTGATCTTCATTTAAGGTATGAAAAAATCGAAACCTGGCAAAGCCAGGTATGTGGACGTAGCCAGCCATCAGTGCGGAACACTGGCCAATGAAAACGTCAGCTTCGCTAATTAGCGGTTAGCGGATTAGCGGACTGTGCCCACCACCATGGTTTATATTAATTCAACCATGCTTACCACTGCCTATGTATTTGCGACATGACTGATCCGATATTCTGTTTTCCTGACGGACAACGCAAAACTGCTATGTACTGCGGAAACTATCTGAAATGTACTCGGTCCGTTTGTTAGTTTATTATTGATGGCTGCAGTCTTGATCTGAAATGTTCTCGGTCCGTTTGTTAGTTTATTATTGATGGCTGCAGTCTTGATCGTGATTGCTCAAAGTGAGGTTGTGCCTACTACCTAGTACCTACTGCTAACTAACCAGAGAAAAAAACCTGCCTTTCCGCTGAAAACGGAGGCACACCATAGCATAAGACTGAGGCGCGTTTGTGCCTCTAAAATAAAAATAGTCCATACTCCAATAGTAATCAACAGGCTGCGACCTGCGACTAACACAGGCGTGATGCGTGAAAGTCGCCAGAGTTCACGTCACGAAAGAGACGACTGACGAGGAATTGGCATTTTGGAAAAGCACCACCTGCACCATAACCCAAGACCCAAGTCCTGTCCCAGTGTCCCTGAGAGGCTGAGGCAGCTGCAAATCAAGGACAAAAGCAAATAAATGCTTTTCCTGGAGCACCAAATGCATCAGAGAAAAATGTGGCCCTTATTTATTGCCAATTTGCCATGCTACTGAGTACTGACTACTGAGTAGGTCAGACACCGTCAGAGTAGTGAGTAGTGAGTACACTCAGTACAGAGTGACAGAGTCTGATGCTAGAATTCCTAGAAACTGCAATCCTATTGTACTAATTGAAGGCTATTCCTATGCAGAAACTCCCCCCCCCCCATTGATGATTGAACTCATTATATCATGGCTATCTCATCCAAACTGATCAAGCAAAAGTCTGAAAACTGAAATTTGAAAAGATGACTGATGCCAAATCAATAACGACTAACAAGTAGAGTTGGAGTGCCTCAGTGCTGGCTGTGCTGGCAGTGCTGCCATGGTCAGGAAGATGTGCCAGCCTGCCAGGTGCGCGGGAATTTATATTGTCATTTTAACGACCTGCGCGGTGCGCCGTACTATGCCGGTAAAAAAAATGCGCCGTACGGCGACAGCGCCGTACTTTTAGGAAGCTAAAATAGTTTAAATATGGACGTGCGGCAATGCAAATTACGTAATCACACTGACCGTACACACAAATGTGTACCCGCACTGTGTTGTGGTTGGATACAAGTTAACTAGATTGCTACCGCATCAACTCAGTACTCAGGTTCTAAGAGTCAGCACAGTAAGAATATTCATTCATAGATCACAATTCAATTGGACATGAATTACAGAACTAAAGAAGGCAACATGGCTTTAGATGTGCCATCGGTGCCTTCTAATGAATGACTGGACTGGTTGCGGCAAGTAGGATATGAACCTGTATCACAGGCTGTATGTCAACAGTACGATCCTGCATGCCAATGTTGTGACTACATTTACATTACCGACATCCTCCCGGCCAGCAAAATCAACACGATCAATACCTAATAACAATTAACAATGCACGTAAATGGACTATACAAATTAGGTCAATATGGCATAATTACAGAGCGTAATTATGCTATGTGATACATAATATGAATATATATATTTGCAAGATAAGTCAATGGTCTGTCGTTTATTTTTGCTTCATTTGAGCAATAATGGTTTCCAAATCTGGATACCAGATTTAGGCATATATACCAGATCTAAAATATTCATACCAGACACCTTTTGAAAATACCAGATTTGTGAAATCTGGTATAGAAATATACCATCTGGCAATGCTGGTTCAGCGTTACTTGAAATCATCTACAGATGATGTTGCCATTCCATTCAGATGAAAACTGTGTCTAAATCAGAACTGTGTCGGACGGCTCCGCGGCCCGCGCCAAGTGCTGCGCGGCACGGAATCGATGACCGTGATTTGCACGAACGTCTGCGCGAAAAAAATATAATTAGATTGATTTACGCGAGAAATTTCTCCGTTTATATACATCTTCCTGAGTGTGGCTGTGCTGCCTGTCAGACTGAGGAGTGAGGCTGCATTGGCACTCTCAAGTTCATTTTTGAGTCCTATAAGTAAGAGACCTGTAAAGTATCATGGATACCATCGGCATCATACCAGTATTATCATACATAAGAAATTGGTTCAAATCTTGAGTAAATGAGGAAATTAATAATGAACTGATTCTAAAAAATCTCTGGTTTGCCACTATGAAATTTGGCAGCATTGCTGCAAAATGCCTGATGCTGATGCCTTATGTGAACTTGTGTTGTGTCAGTTGTGAAGCCTTGCACATTACAGGACTGGGCTTGTAATTTCACACCATTTTAATCGGGTCAAGTGAATTCACTATAACAAAAAAAAGATCATTAAAAACATACCTAGAACCAAAAAGAAAGGAATATTTTGATGACCATCATTATATTTTTTGGAGAAATAAATCATAGTTTAGGTTAATTACTTTTCATTCTAAGTTGCCCTGTAGCTGTAGGGCTGTGGCACTGTGCACAATTCTATCTATGACGTTCTATTTTCTATGCACAATTTTGTGATAACCAATGTCCGATGCGGATGATGCGTTAATTTTTTGTCAAGTGAAATTCATTTTGCTGAAGCTGAGTGAGGTATAGGCCTACCGCCTACGTAATCAAAATGATTTTTGATTATAATATTAGTTGATTAGTTTAGCTGCTACAACATTTCTACAAAATGTGGAATGACAGTCTTGATTTACGTACCCTGCCCAGTGCCTGTAACTTATTACCCATTTGACAATTGACGGTACATAAATAACAAGTACTGAAAAGGGATTTTTTTGCTTTCTGTAACTATTTGAAATTTTCCAAGTTCTAATTTTTTATTATTCAGATGAGCATCTACTTTCATATTCATTCAAAGCAAGAGTGACATAATAAGTAAAGTCCAGCCATGGCTGCTGGCAGTGCAACATTTCAGGACAGAACCCTGAACAAAGTGGCTGTTTGCTCAGCAGTGTTTGCTGGCTTTGCATATGTGGGCTATTCTTATGCAAGGACTGCATTTTGTCGCAAGCTATCCCGGAGGCATGGAGCATGTGAGTTGGTTAAGTTTCTAGCATTCGCCTTGCTGATATTATAATGTTATTCACCTTTAGCACTCAATATTATTTTACATAATGCAATTTCTTGTTTTCCCCTAATTTTGCAATAAAATGCTTAAAGTTAATGGAGACCAAAACTTGAAGCACCCTGAGTCCACATATCCACAAGCTTTTAACATCTTCAAATACAAAGATATTTTGTATTCCTTGGAGAGTTTTTCTCCTAACATATATTTGATGAATAAATTGTGTTTGTTATATCAACTCCCCTGGTCTCCCCATACTAAGATAGATATTCTGTGTTCATTGGGCAATTTTATCCTGAATATTCAATGAACAGATATTATTCTCTGGGCCTTAGTCCTGTACTATTCAAAGAACTTAGCATTGATATTTTTGCATTGAAACTTTTGTTGTTGGCACTGAAACTTTTCCACTAACATTAAATGTTGCTCATAATCATTAATGTATGCATCCTTTTAATTTTTACTTAATAAAGTTTATATTATTTGCAGATGATGATGATAGCCAAGAAGTATCTCGGATGGTCTTCAGGCGTCTTTCACAAACATCACAAACTGATGCTTTAAGCAGTCCCTGGGAAGGCAAATCTGGTGGCCGTCCTTTTGTGCGGCCCAAAAGTGTCCAGGTGATATATATTGTATTATATATATAAGCCATGTGTTTGAGTCAGGCTACATTAGCCATCAGCTGATCAAGTGTCAGATAAGCTGCTCTTTAGATAAACAAAATGACAATTGTTTAATATTCTTGATCTATGTCATTTTACTCAAAGCAACTGTAAAATTAGGTAAGGTAACTTAATGCATGAATTGCTACCACCAAAGTCAAAATTTTATAATCTTACAAATGGCCTCAAACAATGATTGTAAGTAATCTTAGGATGAAACAATTTTCTTAAGTAATAGTTACTCATTTATGTTCCTTTTAAAAGCTCTATTCTTTTTCTTGAGAATGTTAACTATTAAATGTCACTTTGAGAAAGCCTGCATAAAAGCCACATTTATGCCATCTCAAACAACAGCTCTCTTCAGCATGTTGTGTTGTGTATAAAAGTTATGTTGTAATTGTATTGATTGGATGTTATGTTGTCTCAAATAGCAATGTAAGGGAATCATACAAATAATATTCTTTTCTTCAACAGGCCCGGATAAGAGAATTGAACCTGCGTGCCCGTCAGTTCTCTGATGCCTTTGTGGCTATCCAGAGCAGTGGCGGAGGTCTGGACAATGGAGTGTCTCGCACCCATGCCATGCACACACACCACAGCCTGCAGGTGCAGCACCCTAACTTTTTAATAAGTCAATTATCCTGGCATTTTTGTGATAAAGATGAGGTGGTGTATAGTTTATTGGATGTTATGTGGTATGAAGTATCTTAGAACAACTGACTGAATTTAATAACAATCGTCAGACTGCATAAATGTTGCTACGTTAAAGTTGTACCTAGTGTAGGTGCATTTGTACCCATGTAGCCCGACAAAGGTTAAAATTTGCATTAGTTACCTACCCACTATCCTAGTGTTGTTGTTGAGATTAAGTACATATCATATAATATATGGTATAAGGGGTCTTAGATGTGATGTTATATGGTATAAGGTATCTTAGATATGACATGATGCGGTACGGTATTAAGTATCTTGCTGTGACATGATGTGGTATTAGGTGTCTTGTAAATACCATATTTTATATATTCTTGTGTGAAGTATTATCTTAAAACTTACACACAACCAAATACTTGAACTATATAACCATATATGATCAGTTCATAAACTGGGATACGCAACTGCAACGCAACTGTGAGAAAATTAACTATATTACCTATATATTTTGGGATATTTTCTAGTAATGGATTTATAAATTTAAATTCTTTCATACTTCTACCTATGTCCAGTCACTGAATGTTTTAGGTCTAGGATATTAATTAGCAGCTCAATTGTTGCTCATAATAAACTCTTGAGTGTTGTTCACAATTATTAAATATTGTTTACAATTAATAATTAGTTTTCAATATGCCAGCTCAATCAATATATTGTTAATTGCAGTGCTCCCCGTGGTCATCCCCTCGTCTGCTGAGCCCCGTGGATGTACGGGGCCTCACGGGGTCTGTGTCCACTGAGAACCTCACGGGCCTGCCCCACCACGCCTCCCCAACACGGCAAGTGCCCCAACTTAATGAAATTCTCCTTAAAAACTGGACTTCATTAAAAAAATCCAAGTTTCTCAGCATTGCTCGGCTGTTCATAGCAACAAAATTTTGATCAATTTACTTTCTACTTAAAGTAAATTGAAATTATAAATGATGTCTCCATACATAAACTCTTGCCTTGTATGCCAACAAGTTGAGAAAACCCACAAAAAGAAATATATAGGCCTCTTTTATTCGTGCAAATAATGACAATACGTATGATTATCTGTCTCCGGAATTTCATCACATGCATTTCATCACATGCGCTAATCTATAAAAATGTTCATTATTTTGAAACAGAATTTGTTGAAAAATCCATTCATTTTTGAGACTAGAGAACGTCTTGAAGAGCATAATTTTTTTAGCCCGGGTTAGTAATAATAAACTTGATTGCAAATCTATCAGCAAATTTTTAATAATAATTCAATCAATTTTTACTTTCTTTTTAAAAAAGAATTGTTAGAAATATGTTTCTGAATTACTTTACGGGGCATATGAAAAATGCACAATGCTATAGAATATGGCAATAGTATATACATAGTATACAACAGTAGTGTGGTATGCAAGTATATAGTTTAGTATATTATGTAGTAGAGTATGCAAGTATAGTGTAGAATATTTAGAATATAATTTATTTATACATCTTTACATTATTTTATTTAACTTTTCAATGCATTGCAGGCCTAAATGGCGGCGTCAGAGCCTGAGGAGGAAGCGCCACAGCTTCCAGCAGCCTCTGGATGGCGAGGAGGAAGAGTGCATGGAAGTGGAAGTGCAGGAAGAAAACGAACAGCAGAGGAGGACGAGGATGGAGAAAGAGACCAGAGAAATGTACAGCAACAGCAAAGAACAGCTTATTGAGCGCCTGCGAACACTCATGGACCGAGGGCGGTCAGTTGGGGGCCTTTGACTTAATTTGTTACAATACCTTATTATTATTATTCACTGGCAAGCTGCTTGCAATATGTTCATTAGATCATCAGCAAATTACTCGCAATATTAGACTATCAATCACAAGGAAACTTCTTGCAATATTGCTTGCTAAAGCACAAACATTTCTTATAATTTGCGGCTTTCTTGTTTTGTCAGTGCTGAAGTTGTTGAATAAGGTATTTTTTTATAGGATAATGATATTCATGATATTTTTTATTTAACTTTCGAATTATATTGATGGTAATTTTTATTAATTAATTTATTTATTATGACTAATTTTAAATGTAATTATCAGTAATTACTATTAGTATTTTTGTTAATTAGTAGCTAATTTATTATTATTTAATTAATATGTGTGATGTTACTAAGGTTGCTGAGTCCTTTTGAAGCGAAGACGCTCGTGGCGCTGCTGTGTGCCGAGGACACGGCGCTTCTGGAACGCACGTTAGTCACCATCGCCAACTGCGCCACCTTCACTCTCAACGTGGTAATGTGATGCTTCTTCTTTACATTTACCTTCGTAACGCGCCACATTCACTCTCAAAGTGGGAATGTGATGCCTCTCAACGTGGTGATGTGTTTCTTCTTCTATACTCTTATCTTCATCACTCTGGTATTGATACAATCTCCGTACATGTCCAGTAATGGGTGGTGACCTCATCATTGTAATGTCGAGGTGAACTCGGCTGGAAAGACCTTCATGTGTCTTGCTGCTTAGTTTGGCATCGCATTGTTTTTGGCCGCTACTGCCTGACATGAGTAACCGGAGCAATATTGTCACGCGCCTACTTCCCAAAAAGAATACATTCTAGTGAGCGCAAAATGACTTGCACTGATGGTTGCCGCCACGTACGATAACAATAAAATGTTCTCTGTTGCGTACAAACGTCCTCAGGTTGCTACACTCAATAGTTTACGTATAATTTACGTTGAAAGTTATTTGCCCGGAGAGTGACATACGGCGGTGGAGGGTAAAGCCGCTATTAAGTGTCTAGTATATAGAGTAGTAGTTTTTTGCATCTATTGGTATCAATTTTTTGGATGTAGTTGAGAAGTGAATACTTTAGTTTAGCCATCCATATGTGTCATTTTGAAAACATTCGTGCAAGGGATGACTTCATTAATATGACACGTTAAAGTGACTACAAAATGAAACATTAGAAACCCCCGACTAGATTATATAGTATTAGGATATTATGAATCTTTGTGTGTGCATTCTTTTATCATCTCTTTTTTGTCATGGATTTCATTTCGAGCATATAACATGTAATCAAATGTATTGACTTGATATTATGAATCTCTGCGCATGTTCTGCACAGGATCTGCTCCGGGACGCAGGATGCATCGTGCGGTTGTGCTCTCTGCTCACCAGCAATGATGAGCGCATCAAACTGGCTGCTGTCCAGACTCTGGGCAACGTCCTGCTAGCTCCTGAGAGTATCCTGCAGGCCCAGGTGTGTATCCTGCAGGCCCAGGTGTGTATCCTGCAGTCTCAGGTGTGTATCCTGCAGGCTCAGGTGTGTATCCTGCAGGCCCAGGTGTGTATCCTGCAGGCTCAGGTGTGTATCCTGCAGGCCCAGGTGTGTATCCTGCAGGCTCAGGTGTGTATCCTGCAGGCCCAGGTGTGTATCCTGCAGGCCCAGGTGTGTATCCTGCAGGCTCAGGTGTGTATCCTGCAGGCCAAGATGGGTATCCTGTGAGGCTGTGAGCCAATATATATATGTGAATTCTGCCAAATTGGTGAATTATCAATAGTGAATATTCAATTCTCATTGTATTCCGATACCGATTCGTGAATTAACAGAGCTGCAAGTAATAACATCGTGCAATCTCCATCCGCCGTTATTGAGGTTACATTTGCCCCGAAAGAACCTAGCACATTAACGAAGAATTACAACATATATTCATGCCAATTTAGTTACGGCGGAAAATGTGAAAATACGAATAAATTATGCTAATCTATGCCAGTTTAAACGAAGAGTTAATGATAAATTGCATATTTGTTTGTGGCAGACTTGCCTGCCTCCGTTGCTTGATAACGTCAACACTCGGGACCCTGACGACCCCCTGCTACTGGCCTCGCTGGTCGTCCTCACTAATGTCGCCACCCTCAGCACCTGGCATGGTGCCATCAGTCCCGTCATCAGCAGGTGCCTTGTGTTGCTCTGGCTCATCAAGCATAAAGTCCCTTGATGAGGAGAAGTGATTGATCGATTGATTGTTTGATTCATTGATTGATCACAGTGTGGCTATAGGGTACCAATTGATAGATAGATTGATTGATCACAGTGTGACTAGTGTTTGTGCCAATATATTGCATGTGGCTAGTGTAGGCACCAATGTATTGCATGTGGCTAGTGTAGGCACCAATATATTGCATGTGGCTAGTGTAGGCACCAATATATTGCATGTGGCTAGTGTAGGCACCAATATATTGCGTGTGGCTAGTGTGGGTGCCAATATATTGCGTGTGGCTAGTGTGGGTGCCAATATATTGCGTGTGGCTAGTGTGGGTACCAAGATATTGCGTGTGGCTAGTGTGGCGGTTCAAGGTTTAGACCAACTCGTGGGTGCTTCATGTGCTGTACTAGCTTCTGTTTTTATTAATTTTCGCATTGAATTACAAGCTATTTTGATTTAAATTGTCGGTTAGTGTGAGAGTTTTCTTGTGAACGGTGAACCAAGCCAACTAAAACGGCGTTATTGAATCTAATAATGAACCTCTTATTTATTTTATAATTTAATGTGGTACGGTATATTCTGTTGTGACCAGGACCTTGAAATAAAAAATAAAGTAATCTTTTTGATGTCTAATTTTGAAATCGGCTATTATTCCTGCATCATGACTCTTAAATAGAGCCGCCATTTTTAGCGCATTTTCTCATTTATGAAAAAAATGCACTATTGTGCTCGCCATGTCCGTCTGTTCGTCCGTCTGTTCGTCCGTCTGTCTGTCCGTCCGTCCGTGACTTCACGATTTCGTCGACGAAAAAATGCGCTCTCTCACTCACTGCAGTGAGTACTGAGTTATATTTTTTTTGTCCTGCGTTCGCTAGGTTATACGCGCTGGTCGACTGCGGGGCACTGCAGGTGCAGCTGCAAGCTCTTCGTCTGCTGGTGAACCTCAGCTGCAACAAGGACATGATCCTGCAGCTACTGGCGGCAGAGGTAGGGTTATATGATGGGAATCGCAAAATCATCTTGTATTTTATTATCATCAACAATATCGGTTGATGAAAGCGCGGAATTTATAAAAATAAAGCAGAAATAAAGTAGGTGGCAACCGCCGCAGTGACGTCATCACAGCCACTTGTTTGTATATATAAAGTGTGGGAGGCTCGGGTTGTTAAGTCGTAGAGGTAGGGTTCTATGCATGTTATTCTAAGCAAGGGATATTTAGATTATATATAATTATATTAGACGGATGCACTGTTATATATGTACAATTATGGTATATAAATATATAATTTGTGCGTGCAGGGGCCGCAGCAGCTGCTGCAGCTGGTCAGTGTTGCCACCGACCGCGCGGTGCTGCTGCGGGTGCTCACTCTGCTGGCCACGCTTGCTGCTCATGCTGCAGAGTGCAGCATCTCTGCTGCTGACTTGCCAGGGTCTGCTGCTGCAGAGTCGTCCATGTGCGTGAAAGATGTTCTTTTTAAATAATTAATTAGAAATTGAGTAATTTTTGAGTAGCGGAATAATTTTTCAGTAGCGGGAGTAATTTTTGAGTAGCGGGAGATATAGGCCTAACTTTATGTATGGCAGTTCGAAGGTAACGCATCACCACTTCACATCGCACATTGCCCCCCTCACATCACACATAACCCCTTCATATTACACATCTTCACTCTCACATCACACTTCACCCCCCACACATCACACATAACCCCTTCATATTACACATCATAAGAATACAACGAAAAATATAAGCTGTAAAACCTACCTATTTACAATTTCAAGCGGGTAAGAGCTAAAAGCTAAATTCAAACTAGGCCTCTCTTTAAAAATATACAATGATTCTAAAATGCGCAAATCAGAAACAGCAAGCTGATATATACTCAATTCCCTGATAGATCTTCCTTTATTTTCAATCATTTGTCGCTTCTTTCATTTTTATTTAATAAATCTATTACGCAATTTAATTTTTATGTTGCGAAAAAAATGGATAGATTTCTGTTTTGTTTTATGATTCACATTTTTTTGTTTTGATGTTCACACTGAGCAGGCGTGAAGATTTCCTGCACCGGTGCTGCGTGCTGGCAGAGTGAGTTTAAGTTGATTTCAACTAAGAAAGTTCTAAGGCTGATTTTTTAATTTGAAATAGTAGTAAATTAATCCATTGAGAAACTCACTAAGAGGGTAAAAAGAACTTCGAACTTTCATTATTGGATCAAAAACTGATGGAAATTGACCCCTGATGTAAAAGGAAGCTTGAGGTTTGACTATTAGATACCTACATAATTGGGGTAAATTTTCCTATAGGGTAATTTACACATTGGGTAAAATGTAGTTCGATCGTTGAATATAACATCAAAATTTGTGTTTTATAAGCTCATAGGGTAACTAAATAAGTTTTCGAAGATCATGAGAGGAATATGACGTAAATTTAACAGTTAATATCAATAATGACATCTTGGTCCGAAAATCTCTATCCACTTTTCATGTTCTAGTCACAATAATAATAACTTTAATGTCGTCAATGCGAATTCAATTGGTCGAGATCTTTACTAAATCTGTAGTGTGATATCTTGTTTACATATTGCCGTTATTTCGCGGATATTTAGATTTCAGTTTGGATAACCTGTATTGCTAGAACATTTATTTCTAATGTTGGGTGGTATTTTGGGTAATTAAATATTATTGTAAAATTGAACCCTTGAGGACATATATATTATCTATGCCACCTAATTACCTTGCGGTTTCACGGTGGTAATGATAAAAATTAGGCTGATATTAAAATTTTGTTCACATTAACGTACTGATTAACTTATGTTCACCATGATGATGATGACTAAACATTAACGAAAAATTCATCCACGCGCACAAAGTTTGTTGATTATTTTCAACTTGCAGGTTCACTCGTCTGCTGGGCGATGACGTCAGAGGAACTTTGACGGCAACCGCGACTGACATCAGCCGCTATCATCCTGACCCTGAAGTGCGACGACAGGCGAACCGCCTGCGCATCAGCCTCGCCTGTCCCCGCCCTTGAGGACAATCCATCTTTTCATCAGCCTTGCCTGCCATTTCATCTAGGATGAATCGTCTGCTCAACAGCCTCGCCTGTCCTACGCCATTTAAAACGAATCGTCTGCGCATCAGCCTTGCCTGCCTCCACCACCCAGGACAAATATTCGCGCGTCAGCCTCGCCTGTCACTCGCCATCAGATATGGCTCGCCTCGTCCATCAGGCTCGCTTGTCCATCAATCAAGGACGAATCGTCTGCACATTATTATAGACTATCGTATCCTATCCGCGAGTCTAGCGAGGCTCTCCTTCAAACCACCCAAATCCGCCAGTGTATGGCGCTTAACGAGCCGAGCAGAGAAAAATGAGAGGCGAGCCCAACGATGCGCTCCAGTGCTTGCTGTGGGGCTCGGCTCGGGTTCAGTTGCAATGCAGACGCCAAGCTGGAAGGGCGTGTGCAGTCATGGCGGACTCCAAGCTATTCATGAGCCCTGACTTCCGAACCAAGTTCATTGAAGAGTACCGCAATTTGCCATACTTGTGGAAGGTCCGTAGAGCATTCGATTTGTTGATTATAACGAATCCTTCCTTATAATAAATCGAATTATTCCGTACGGCAATATTCGATAAACGGTTTAACTTTGTCCAATGGGACATTGAAGTTAACCGCAGACATCATAAGTTTTGATAGTCGTTTCGAATATCGTTGCGTATGAAATTCAGCAAATTCATTTGACTGAATCTTGGTCGATTGACTAGCGATTCTTTTGACTACATAGATCTTTTCCTGCGTTGCTTTTTCGCTGCCCCAAGCTCATTCAAAACGATGGCAGGAGCTGCGACTCGCCTCCGCAGACTCGCCTCTTCACGACTGGGCGCTGCGAGCTAAGTACGATGGTGTATGGTGAAATATCGCCGAATCAGATTCACTAGTCAGAATCAGCTAGCTGGACTCGAGAGTTGGATACGCTAGTGCATGGGGCGCTCAAGTCTCGCCTGTCCCCCGCAATAAAATATCGATCGTCTGCGTAACAGCCTCGCATACCCAACCACGATGAATTGACCAAGCCAATGCTATGTCTACCGTTATCAAGGATGAATTGTCTTTTCATCAGTCTCGCTCGTCACCCGCTATCATGCAAGTCTGTGCATCAGCCCCCGCCCCCCCTACCACCAAGAGAACTGTCTACTCCTCTGCTCTTTGCCATCGTCGACGGCTTGGCTGTGTGGAACAACCTGTACCAAAGAGCGACTTTAGTCGCCTCGGATCTCGTGTATATGTTTAGTTGTAAGAATTTGAATTAGTGTAACAAATTAGATATTCAAGAATAGCATCCGAGAAGCCGAGGATTATACGTTATCACATTTGTTAATATAAAACGGAAGTGCAGTCGACTGCTAGCAGTGGGAAAGATTATGGAATCTTTAGTGGATATAGAAATAATTGTCTAATTATGTTTTCAAATAATTATTACAATTTGATTTGGTTATAACATTTTATTGGGACGTATAGTTTCCCGGAAATTCACTCTTAGGAAATTAACTTCACCTCTACCGAAAAATTGCGTACCGATTTTGAAGATATTTTTGAATTTGCACATTTTAAAAGTCATGATTCCATCTAGTCTATTCGATACTTTAAGATACCTCGAACGGTGCGACGTTGGAATTTGCAAGGTACATACTTCCTACATGTAATTTGCAACAATTTGCGCTAAATTGTCAAATTTTATTAATCCATATTGGAGTCTGATGAAAGTAAATTGATTGTATTATGATGCATTCTGCAGAAAAGCCTTTTCATGAAACTATATTAGTTGAGTTGTAACAATTAAATTAAAAACGATAACTTTTACCACCCTATTTGTTACTTTTACTAAGGAACAAAGCCAAAAGTCAAACTTCACAGGAGTTGCATTTCACAAGAAATTTTCAGTATCTACTTAACTCGTCAACTCACTAGCCTCCCAAGTGTGAAATAAATGTCTACTTAATTTCAATCGATTTTTATAGTATGGGAAGATTAAGGAAGGAAAGAATTCAAGTGGCTTTAGGTTTCGATGGTCCAAATACGAGCTGTCTCACTTCTTCCAGAGATAATCCTATTGGGTGAAATTCTGGCACGTCCGTGAACGTTTTCGATGCGGCGGGACTTGACGTCGTTGGCGTGGGACGTACGATCGTGGTAGTCGGAAGCGTGGTAGTGACGGGACTTGCGGTAGACCTGGTTGGGGAGGACGGAGAATGTACCTGCTCGGTGGCAGAGACCGGCGTGGGGTTGGTAACGCTTGGGAACTTAGTTACTTGACCTTTAGTCTGACTTAAACAAGACTCTTGGTAATTCTCTAGCAGAGGCTTGAGTTTGGCGTTGTACGCGAGGACGACCATCAACGAGTCAAATGCTAGTTCATTCGGAGCTTCTGAGAGCTCAGCCATAGACCAGTCCAAAGCACGACCGAATTCCCGGATGAGGGATATTCTCGAAAGAATGTTCGTCTGCAGCGCGTCTTGGTCAAAGAAAGACGCGTTATTCGAGTCGACAAATACGAGATCAATGAGGCTGACGAGGTTCCTTTCTGAACGCCGTGATTCCGTCAGTTTCATACCGATGAGCTGAGCGGCAGCCAAGCGTTTTCTTAGGCGACGACCTGTGAGAGCTTCACAGGAGGTCTGCAGGTTTAGGCAATGACTAAGTTCTAATGTAGCTATCAGTAAACCTGACACTCGGGGTAACGATTTCAGGTTTGACGCAAGATCTTGTGATATATCAGTCATTGGTAACGTTAAGTTCAAAGTGCTGGCACATTGCTTGATCTTCTCACGGTCCAAGTCTTGCAGAATATTGGAAGCTGCGAAGTCCCTCCAGATTGGCATCAAACGAGCCTGCTGCAGAAGAGGCTGTGACAAAAATTCTTCGTTCTGAGACTGGAAAATTGCTTTCGTGTCCTCGGTTTGGTTTACAAGACATTCCTTCATCCGTTCCTTCAATACTATCAAAGACTTAGCGATGTCAATTACTCTTTCCTCACTTGAACCAGAACCTGAACCTGAACCTTCTTCGACATCCGAGGTCGAGATCGTGGGGAAGTTCAATACGGCTGACGATAGAGTGACCACCGGACTTGACGTTTTACTCGACGTTACAGTAGCCGAGGTCAGCGTCTGAGGCAGGGAAATGCTCGTAGGAGTGATATGGACGCCGGTAACAACGCTGGTAGAACTAGGATCCAAAACTGGTGCACTAGTAAGAATTTCCGGGAAATGAGCGACCGTTGGAGTTCTTGTATCTAACTCTGTCTGTGAGCTAACACTCGATGAAATGGTCGTTGCAGTAGGTAATTTCACGGTGATGCGTGAAGACGAAACGCCTGTCGTAAAATCACTTGTGTACGTAGGCAGAACTGCGGTTGCTTTAGACTCTTGTATACGAGTAGTCGACGATGAGAGACCACTATTGTCTACTGGATTTGTGAACTGAACGTCGGTGGCCGGGTGTGCAATGCCGCCCTGTACTGCGGTCGGAGAGCCACCAATGTTTTGTATGAACGTTGTGCCATTTCTAACGTACAACGTAGTAACTTGCGTGTGATAGATTATATGATCAAGGAACTGATTCTGGGGAAAGGCCGTTTGATCGTAGAACAAGGTACTAGCTTCGAATACTGCCAGGGCTGACGTTGGAGAAGAACTGGCAGGTGTTGGTTTGTCGGTAACTAAATTTCCTGCGCCCACGACGTCCGTAGGAAGCGAGGGCTGAAGCGAGGTGATCGGCGAGTACTGAGCTGATGTATAGATTGTACTAGTTACTGTATGCTTCGTTGACAAACTGCTTTCTGGTAGTGGTAGCACTAGTGCGCTTGATGGTTTTTGTCCCTGTGAGACTTCCCGAGTAGGTGTAAAAATTTGGCTCGATTTTGACGTCAACAAAACGGGGGAACTTATGAGTGACGTTGCCTCCGGTAAGATTTCAAACGGAGTGCTAGATAAGGTAGCTAACACAATACCTTCGCTAGTACCCAGCTTTGAAGTGGGTTTAGCGGTAATCTCAGTAGTGGTGGCATCCTCAGAAAAGCAAGTAACTACAGTTACAGTTTTTGTGACGCCTGCAGGAGACTGTAAAGGTAACGCACCGTGTGGTAACTTAGAGGCAAATACGACGGTCGAGTTCAGATCGGATAACTGATCCGCAGCTTGTTCGATAAGGCCGGCTGTCTCCCCCAGAGTCCCTGCAAGAGCCTTGGCATCGTTGGTCGGCTCAGAGATGCCAATGAGTGACAGCAATTGATTGGAAACTGACGCCAGCGATACCAGGCTAGCGCTGATCATGCTTGCTATGTTAGCTAGGCCACCGTTTTTCAGTACCAACGTGTTGTCCTCTTGGCCACCGCGGTGCGGCTGACCCACTTCTTGGCCAACATCGGAGGCTTCAGGTTGTGGAACAGCTCCACACTCACACCCGTCCTCCACCGGCACCACTAGTGTTTGGTTGTTCTGGTTCAGACGGTGAAGCGAAATCGAAACCGCGCGGAATTTCTGGAATAAAATTCTTTACGTTATTTAAGTAGGAGCAGAAACTTTAAAAATTTGTAGTCGCTTAAAATATTCACTTTCAAATCGTTGGACTATGTAATCATAACTTAGTGCAATATTAGTGCCTTTCCAACGCAGACAAATAAACTTGTGCCTATTTCGCCTCCACTAATTCAATCATACTACTCAACATACGTTCTTTGGACCAATAGTTTTCTGATGAATGGTAAGAATTCAACAGAATTATCAATTGTGTGATGTTAGTGGAGCCATTTTACAACCTCATTACTTTTATTTAACAACTTAATAGCGGGAGGTTGCTGCATGTGATGCCGAGCTCGTGAATGCTCTGTCCGTGGTCCGTGACGTGTGGGGCTCAGGGACTACGACCCACACGGTTATTAAGTACCTGTGATGACCCACTTATACTGGCCTACCTGTGATGACCCACTTATGCTGGTCTACCTGTGATGACCCACTTATGCTGGTCTACCTGTGATGACCCACTTATGCTGGCCTACCTGTTATGACCCACTTATGCTGGCACACTTGTGATGACCCACTTATGCTGGCACACTTGTGATGACCCACTTATGGTGGCCTACCTCAGGCTACCTGTGATGACCCACTTATGCTGACCCACCTGTGATGACCCACCTGGAAGCAGCGCATGGTGGAGCGCAGGTCGACGTCCCCGCAGCTGCCTGCGCTACAAAATGTACGCGTCACGTGTGACGGTCGCATGAACCACGCGTCTCTCTCGGGGACATCGCCGTCTGTGCATCAACAAAAGCATGACAATTATGAATCAAATATCAAGAAATTATAGAAAGTTTTGTGAATAAATATTAATAGGTATTACTGCCAATTGTTATATGGAGGAATTCAACGTAATCTACAATTACGCAGGAAATCAAGCGGATTTCTTACGGGCATCTTTTCATTTCCATAACGAGCCTAGGAATTGACGATTAAAAATTATTTCGCATGAAATCAAACGGAAACTATAACAAATTATTTTCTAACAGAAGCACCAGAACAACCCTGCAATGCGGCCGTTGAGGAGGAAAAACTGCAAATATTGAAATAAATAAGAACTAATAGAGTGAAAATTGTGTATGAGGGGAAAACCTCGATATTGACAGGAGGTTTATTAGACTTCCTAGCGGGTCTACGGGCACTTAATGAACACAATTCTGATAGATGCTTGGCCTCAGCCCTCCAACAACCCACCAGCCCTCCAATAACCCACCAGCACACCTCACCTCTGATCAGCCTTCTGACGTCGCCACGTCGAGTCACCTCTCGGCAGCAGCACCTGTGGGGGCGCAGCGTGTATAATACCAATTCACTATTTTTATCTTCACATCAAAACAATGTATGCAGAGCAATCGTTAATTTTAGTGAATGACCGCTGAACTGTAGTGAATGTGGCTAGAAGTCATCTGAAGAAAGAGTTTCAATCATCAGTCATTTCGTAAACTTTGAATGAATTAACGAGTTAAATCGGCCTCACGGTCCGGCTGTAAATACGTAGTAGTTAATGGGAATAAAAAAAATAGTCCTAAAACCCACACAAGTCACTACTGACTAAAATTTAAAATCATCACAATTTGAATTACCGTTAGATTTACCACGACACCCCGCATCATAGTAAAATAATATGAGCAATGACCAATTGAAGTCTTAAGGCCTTACTTCAGTCCACGCTTATTTTTGTTAAAACTCACGTTGAGGCATCTGAACTGCGCAGGCCATTCCCGAAATCAATCGAGTGAGGCGTCGTTGCGGTATACAACTTTGCGGGCGAAATGACCTCTGAAGCGAACGATGATTGGTCGGAATAAAAGTTACTTCGATTTAAAAGAAGCGTCACTGGAAACGCATCCGTCTGAGCGGCAGTGGAAGTAGCCCTAGCAGCGGGGGAAGCGCCCATACCAGCGGTGGAAGTAGCTCCAGCAGAGGTGGAGGTGCCCATACCAGCGGTGGACGCATCCAAATTGACATCAGGTCTCGAATATGTATCAAAACTGTGAACAGAGGTTGACGTTGACAGGACAGAGTCTGCTGTTAACGTTGTCGTTATGCGAGCGGATTCTATCCCGGACGAAATTTCGTCTCTTAAAGAGAGGGTGTGATGTAAAGTCGTGACCAGAACGAGAGAGGACGACAAATTTGGTGACCGAGGAACTAATGAAGAAACGCTAGCACCTGCTAAGCGTAATCCAATGTCGGTTACTGGCAAATTAACGTCTCTTGTTACTAAAGTTGAAGACTCAGGAGTACTCATCACGTTGATTACACGAGGGTTTTCCAGAAAGAAAGAAGAGGTGGGTTCTTGTAACCTCAAGATGGGGGTCGTCAGAAAACTAGGAGGCGGTGCCGACAAGAGTCTATCACCCAAATCTAACTTGTTGACGTCTTTAATAGGCCTGATGTGCACTGAACCGTCTGCGAACAAAATGATGTAATTTCACACCAGGCATGCGATGTTGAAAAGACGTTGAATAAACCTGGTTTCCACGAAATCAACTCAATATACGTTGTCTGCCTATGGCGAGGCTAAAATTTGATCCTCATAATGCGACGTCAATATCTACACAAAGTCATCTATTCAAAATTAATTTCAAAAATCTAAGTAGTAATACTATTGCCACTTAAAGCTATAAATTACACCATCTTTACAGCACCGAGACAAAGCTTGAACGACTACTGTGGAAGGCTCAAAAAAGACTGGAAAGATTCTGGAGGGAAAATTGTACATCGTCAACCTATGGGACAAGTCTGATAAAATGTTGAACGAAACTGTATTGCTTCATTCGTTCTAGCGTCGAAATGACGTGCAAGCTTCAGAATTGGCCTTGTCCTTTTATATAAATCTACCATTGAACAATGACAATTTCTACACTTTCAATTTCTATCCAAAGCGTGCGTAAACCAAATTGATTGTACGTACTGTTTGGCAAAAGACTCTCAATTCACTATATTGTACAGGCGAATTTCTGACGTAGAACTTCATAACAACTTTTATTTGATAGAATTTTTGGTGTGGATATATGGCTTGTTTAGATGATGCTATGAGACATTAATCTCTTACCTGGAGTCTTGCACTTCAAAACGCCACCCTCGGTCCAACAAACGTAGCCTCGTACATCTGGTACCTGCAAAATCGACGTTTTTTATTAAATTTTCTTAAATTTCACGATATTTCATCACAGAGCGTTATTAGATACAAGCATTGGGCCAATTATGGATTGGGGTATGATTGGATCGGCCAACTTCGTTAATTAAATTAGACTGTTCGTTAGCAACTTCAGAGCAATATTTATGGATGCTGGAATTAGTTCAACTTCGACTAGGGTCATGTTTGTCAACGTTGATTAATAAAGTCGAGACTTTTGAGCAACAAACGCATGTTAGATTTAGATCAGAAATAATGTAATAAAAAATCAATTGAACTACGAAAATAAAACAAATCAAATAACTCAAATAAACAAATCAAATAAACGATTAAATATAAAACGCATGCTAAATTCATATAAACGAATCAAATATAAAATGCATGCAAAATTGAAATAAAAAAAATCTAATCTACAAAATCGTCTCTGTTCACAAAAATTATCAAGCCTCACCACGACGAGTAGGTATAGAGTAGCAGCCACTAAGAAGACGCCCATCGTCTGAAGAGATGGTGTGGCGAGTGTTGCACGTGGAATGAATACGGGAAGGCCTGGAAAAAGTAATTGTGACTAGCAAGATCGTTCAGAACCAAGTTAATTTAAGTGAATTTCCTACGTTGTACTAAGACCAATTCATAAACCTTCTACTTCACTTTTGAAGTCCTACAAGTTTGAACACGACCTTGCGTTTTCTGCAATATTTGGATTTGGCTTCATTTCCTCATTAACCTTTATTACACTACGAACTGCCAGTCTGCCAACGTGACTCACGACTGGTGAATGCTGTCACTCACGTGAAATTCAAGACCTCGGAAAAAGTAAATCGGAAATGTCAGAAACGGGACTAGAAACCGCAGTGTCACTCGTAGTTGCTGTGACTTGAATATATAGATTCTAAACAAAATCGTCAAAAATGTGATGCGGGCCACGTTATCAGTAAAGGTTAAAATCTTCCTGAGGATACATATTGCGGAACAAGATATTCTTTACGATGTGTCCAAGTTTCAACATCCCCATTCTCAAAATGGCTCCCATTATTCTTAGTAAATAGTTCAATATAGCTCCATAAATTCTTATCAAGACTAACATTCACTGCGCTCACGCTTTCCAAACGTTCGAAATTTGGTTTCGAACGTCAGGGTAAACGGAAGCCTGCGTCGAAAATTGTTTGTAAACAATGATCACAAATGTAGACAGCCGTTCTGTTTCCTGTTGTGACCTTATGTATGCTCAATGAATCCAATGTGAACGTCAATAAAATTAGGCGAAGTCGACGCTTCTAACCTAAATGACATTCAAATCAATGGGAAACTTTTTCATGCTACTAGGCTAAGAACAATTTGACTTTCTCCAGGTTTAATGCCCGTATGACAATTCTAGGCTCTTGTAGAGTCATATACTGAAAGTTTGTTAGAGGATTGCTAAAGACACGTTAGACTGAGTAACAATTGGTAAGCACTGTCTTAACTATAGCTAAACGAGTTCAGCGCGGGTAGACTTGAACGTCATTGCATCGGCAACAATTTATTACTCCCTACAGAAACTTAAAATTCTCACATTGTGTTTATTCCGCGGTTAGAGTTACAAAATTTCTAATATTAATAGCGCCACTGTGAAGTTATATTAGGTCACCGTAATGTTAAATTCGTCTATAATAAAGATGAAGCGCTCAGAGGGTGCGACGTTAGAAAGCTTTTATACGAATGATTGTCAACGGCTACAACTCGCACAACTTCCTATATGGGCGGTGAGAATTTGTCTTCGAGTATGGGCCGACAGCGTTTGATAGAAAAAAGGTTTCTGAAAGCTAGTCTAGATAGTGGTAAGCCGGGGCAGCGTTTCCTATACGCAAAACCATCTTTTCAGTTTTCAGAGTACGTTAGGACATCCTACGCGTATAATCACAGATGAAATCGAAAAAAATTATCGCTGCCTTAACTTCACCGTTCGGTCGTGCTGAATGCATGTGAAAAGTTTCATCCAACTACGTGCATTAGTTTGGAATATATATCATATTCACAGCAAATTTGACAATCAGCCGCAGATATGCCAGTCGCTTCTCCGTATGGCTAGGGAAATAACTCTAGAAAGAAACCATGATTGAACATTTTCGCACGACAAACATCACCGTCAGCGTCACGTTATTAAGAATGTATATTCAAATTCAAGGTTACGTTCGGATCTTTTCAGTAGTTGTGAAACTATCTTATGATCACTGCGAACTTAGACCCGTATGACCGTAAACCTTGCAAACGAAGGCGAAATAGAAAAAGTAAAAATGACCCAAACATCACCGTTATTTCTTAATGAATGCATGTGCTAAGTTTCACTGAGCTGCGTTCAATAGTCGAGATATTTCATGATTACTGAGTCTTGGCGTGAATGTGTCCGAGAGGTCAGACATGAAACAGAGTGAAATTAACCCGAATGCAAATCTTTAACCTACTGAATTTATAAGTGATCAAGAAACAAATGCTGAAACGTTGCCCAAAATACCTACCGCAAACAAGATTAGCCAGCGCTCAAGAACACAGTTTTCAGATTCAGATTTTAGATCTAAGACTGTGAAAACCTCTGCATAGCGTAACTCGGAGCCGACGCAGAGTTCTGTTAGAGGCTCTTTCTTTAAAGTCTGTTTACAGTAGTTTTCTTCGTATTTAGTTAATCGAAGTCAACTTTACCTCATATAACCCACTTCAAAGTTTGATTTACTTATAATTTGATTACAATTCTTATATTTTACGACCCCAGAATCATGTTATACTTGACAAACACTGACAATGTGAACACTTTCGTCGTTTTGTCTGGTCCACCAAGAACTCAATCGACATTTCTCTAAACCTAGCAAGCGAATTTAAACGCAAAAACGCACATTATGAGCAAAAATCTTGCGTAAAACCTGTGTTCATGTTTGATATATTGTATATTGACTAAACTATATGCTTTTATCCTCTTTTAGCACTCCAAATGATTAGATTATCACAACTGGGCAGCATTCAGCACAGTTCGGGGAACACTGTGAACCAAGTTAATGATTATTTTTTGGTGGCAGTGTCTACGCGAATATGAGGTGGATTGTTAATCATTGTTTCCGCGTTTTGTTATGATTTATATTTATACGCTCTGCCAAACACCAATTTCCGCTGTGATACGTACGAAATAATGATGTTGCTTACAACCGTTGATTTATTGTGCATGTAAAAATATTTGATTTTGAAGGTGGTTCTTCGAAACAAGAAGAACGAAAAGCTTTAAATATTGAAATGTATTGTTGGTCACTATTTCAACATCACTGGGCAGATGCGGTCGCAAAGTTGTGTACGCACTGGGCAGAATGTGTACGCCGTTGAAGATGTGTACGCACGCAGGTGTTATTTTTCAGGTTCATTTGACCCATACGATAGCGTTATACACGGGACATTAGTATCATATGAAAAAACTCTCTTAACTATCATCCGTTATTGATTTTTTCCGTCTCACGCAGCGTTTCTCAACCCTTTTGTGTTTGAATCCCCACAAAGGGTTGTTTAGCTGAATTATCTGTTGCCTAATATGAGCTCCCGTCCATAGCCTCCGCGCATTACCCGTCCCCTCGGCATATAACTAATTGAACATAATTGGTGCTGAAATACGCAGTTATTTTCATCAAATAAAGTGGAAATTTTCACGCATTCGATAAGAAATACCTAATGATACACTTGAACAATATAATTTCTCGGGGCTGGAGAGCCTCTACACATGGGCGACGGGAGCGCATCCGTGCACCACCAATTTTGTGCACCAATAAGCCCTGAATCGAACCCCTTGGATCTCTCCGGACATCCACCAACCAGCCGTGAACGCCTTGGATCTCTCCGGACATCCACCAACCAGCCGTGAACCACTCGGCTTTGGCTTCCTCCGGCCTCGCATAGAACCTGCCGTGCACCACCGGGCCGCGGATCGAATCTGACTTCCGGGCATCGTTAAATTACTTAATTTTACGTTCACCGTATCTGAGGTTAGGTTTCAGATAGCATAGTTCTGTTCCAAAATTTATCGTCCTTCGACAAGTGGCCGTTCGACCGAGGGCTGGTTCGACCCACGGCCTAGATACGGACGGCTTGAAGTGTTGAAGGCTACGTTCCGGAAGGCAGGAATCATGATGGTCCATTACATCCAGGGCAGTGGTGGTCTTCGGCAGGCGACCCTGGGCGACATAGAGGACTATGGCTATCAGCAAAAGCCGCGCTGCCCGTATCATGGCTGGATGTTGACCTCACGACAGCAAGTTCTCATATTGTCCTTTCAGTTTCAGCCAAGCATTTACGAGATAAGAATTGTTTCTGCGAGATCTTGTACAATTATTTTTTCCAACAATTTCGTGGAAAAACTTCCGGAAATTTTCCCGGAATTTCATATGAAATCTCTACTCAAAATGTATTCTGTTGCTTAACACAATGGACATACATGTAGTTAGGCGGTTGTCAGTAGCAATTTTGAGTTAAAATAAAGAAATCACCTCAGTTCATACAGTGCTGATTTGATCACATAGAATTAGGCAACAGATAACACTTAGTTTAATCAATTGTTTGACTAGGCTAATTATTTTGCCACCTCTTTAAAGTTGGTAATTTGTACGTGCTTGTAATTCATGACCTCGAATGATTCTCTGATTCCTCATCAAGTTCAATAAGCAACTAATATAGTAGTCAATGTCTAACGTTTTTCTTCGTCAGGTGAGTGCATTAACCCTTGCTATCAGGACAAGCTAGCCCGGTTTTACCCAGTCAAAGTCGACCCCATGCAAACGACGGAATTTAAGGGTGGGCTTCAAATGCTTTAACGAGCAATACTTCCGAGAACCATCCTGCAGGTAAAGGCTTCCGGCGACACACTACAGGCCCGTTCACACTAGGGGCAACACACGAGAATCAAGTGTCTCAAAGCGCATGCAGAGGCGCTTTGCAGCCTCTGCATGCGCTTCTTGACCGATTGACGAGCTAGCGATTGACAGGGGCCATGCCTCATGCAACACAAGCGCGGCGCTTATTAGATAGCTATTAAAGAATTGATATCACTTGTATGCTTAAATCGCAAATTAACTAAGAATTTAAATTAAATTAAAAATTTAAATCAAATTAAAAATCAAAATTAATTAATTAAAGAGATTCAATTCGTTCTATGGTTTCAATGTATTAATTTGTGACTTCTGATTTGTGATTCTAGATTCTACGAACTGACGATGGAGCTGGTCTCCGAAACGTTTTCTACAAAGATATGAATTTTTGTGGACTATTCTTTGCTTTTAAATTCTTAGTTAAATTCTTAGTGTCGCTGCCGGTCGCGGGCGGAGGAAGGTGCGTTGTTGGCGCTCTCTTACCGGTGTGTTTGCCAGCAGCGACGTAATGATCAATGGAGACGGTAGCTGACATTGGTATTGCGCGGCGAGAGGTGAAATTCTGCGACCCCCGCAAGACCTCCTAAAACGAAGGCGTCTGCCAAGGTCGTGTTCACCAATCATGAACGAAAGTCAGAGGATCGAAGGCGATCAGATACCGCCCCTAGTTCTGACCCTAAACGATGCCAACCATCAATCCGCGTGAGCACCCTATCTAACGGGCTCGGCGGGCAGCTCCCCACTACCGGGAAACCAGAGTTTATGGGTTCCGGGGGGAGTCTGGTTGCAAAGCTGAAACACCAGGCGGGGAGCCTGCGGCTTAATTTGACTCAAGACGGGCCATCTTACCAGGCCAGCACTCTGGCATGATTGACAGATTGAGAGCTCTTTCGCGATTCAGTGGACGGTGGTGCATGGCCGTTCTTACTTGCTGGAGTGATCCGTTGGTGGTTAATTCCGAAACGAACGAGACTCTCCTAGCTAAATAGTCGGTCTGCAGCATCGGCCGGCTGGATGATAGCTGGCGTTGCCTGCAGCATCGGCCCGCTGGATGAAGGAATTTAAAAGCTAAGAGAACGCCAAATAAATTCACCATATCGATATTAGAAACGTTTCGAAGTCCAGCTCCATCGTCAGTTCGTCAATCTATGAAATGAAAACAATCATTTTAATTCAAAATCCAAAGTCTGACATCAAAACCTATAATTGACAAATAAAAGGCGGCGATCAATCGTGGCCTGGGACTGTTACGTCCGAAACAAATACTAAGGAATTGCGACAGCTTGTACTCTATCTGTAAGGAAGTTGTGGATCCACCTTAACAGGCTTCCTCCTACCCCCAACAGCCTCAGCTTTCTAAAGAGCACCCCATGGTCAACTTTGTCAAAAGTTTTAGCAAAGTCTAGGTATACCACGTCCACGCCAGCTCCCTCCTCCAGCTGGGCCACCAGACGGTGATGGTGCTCCAGAAACTGCGACAAACAGGAACGATTACGCCGGAAGCCATGTTGTCCGTTGTTATACAGGTCAGCTTCTTCCATATACCGGACAAGCCTCCTGACCACTACCTTCTCAAAAACCTTGATCACATGTGAGGCCAAGGTCACAGGTCTGTAATTTTGAGGTCTGTCCCTCGAAGTAGAGTAGAAAGCTCTAAATTTTTCACGTTAAAAAGCTCTCAACCTGTTTTTACCCTAAAAAGCTCTAATACTTTTTTTAAACCCCAAAAAAACTAACTAACTAAAGTTTCTAACTAAAAAAACTGACACATTTTTTACCCGAGGTAGAATATAAAGCAGACCATCCTAATAGGGTCTGCTGTGGGGTCTGCCACTTCAATTGCCAAGGAGTACAGAAGAAGAATGAAAATATCCACGCTTGCAATAACAATTTGTATTCGAAAAATATAAAAATATTAATATAAATTTCATAGAACTTTTCAGAGGCCATTTAACGCGTTCTTAACAATAGTAAAATATTACATTTAAATTGCACGGCCAGTGCATCGTACAGGGCGCTGCACAGCTACACTGCAGTGCACAGCAACGCTGCACAGCACACGAGTTTTTCACTATAGTTAACAAGGCACAAGTGAGGCTTTCATTCACCATTCACTTTCATTACTCACTAAGAATTTCGCGGTTATACGTATTTTCTCAATTATTTTCATCACCATTCAATAAAATATCGCACTATAATATATATTACGAGATTTCAAATTTAAACTTCGCATCATCTAATATACATTAATGTCTATTTCGTGAATATATTCTTCAAATCTATTTTTTGTAATAAATCTAGTTAGTTAGCGATACTATATACACTTTTTATCGATAATATTCAAAGAAAACAATGACAACAATACGTCAATTCTGTGTTGGAAGACAGATCAAATACAGATAATACGTGGGCATTGATCGGTACAGTGTTGCAACCCAAAACTAATACTATACATAGCAGGTCGCGGTACAGGTCACTGCCAGCCCTGCAGGTCGTGCAGGTCGCGGTGCAGGTCACTGCCAGCCCTGTAAGTCAGGCAGGTCGCGGTGCAGGTCACTGCCAGCCCTGCAGGTCAGGCAGGTCGCGGTGCAGGTCACTGCCAGCCCTGCAAGTCAGGCAGGTCGCGGTGCAGGTCACTGCCAGCCCTGCAGGTCAGGCAGGTCGCGGTGCAGGTCACTGCCAGCCCTGCAGGTCAGGCAGGTCGCGGTGCAGGTCACTGCCAGCCCTGCAGGTCAGGCAGGTCGCGGTACAGGTCACTGCCAGCTCTGCAGGTCAGGCAGGTCGCGGTACAGGTCAAGGCAGGCAGGGTTGGCCAGTGCGCCGGTGTTGGCCACGGCCTCCCCATGGACGGCCTGCCGTACGGCCACCTCCACCTTCTTGCCGCTCACCGTGTACTGCAGGAGTACAAGGGGGACACAATGTGGTAAATGGGGAGTAAAAAGAAGTATGAGAGTAAAAGGAAGGTAAAAAAGAAGTATAAGAGGGTATAAAGAGTATAAGGATATCTAAGGAGGAGGTACAAACGGGGCGTAAAAAGAAGTATAAGGAGGTACGAGAGGTACAATGGTACAATTTGCGTTCACTTCTGGCAAATTATATTTTTGTGACCAGGACTCGCAGCCTCGTGCAGCTCAGCCCTCGTAGTTCTAACGCTGAAGCCATAATAAAATATTTTCACGTTTATTTAGCAGAACATAAATGCAGGAGGATATATACTAACATACTAGGATTGAATAGGTTATGCAACAGGAAAACGCCACAAGACTCACGGGAATGTCAGCAACTGGCAGCATGACTGCCGGCACATGTCGGGCTGACTGTTGCTCCCTGATGGCGCTGGCGATCCTCTTCTTCAGGTCAGCTGACAATTGCTGCTGAGGCCGCTGCTCCTCTTGCTGCTGCTGCTGCTGCCGCAGTTTAAGGAAGAGGACGACGCGTTCCTCACCGTCGCGGGCGCGGCGCTGCCCCACGCACACGCTGTCTTCCACCTCCACGAACCCCTCCACTGAAACACCAACACGTCACATTCTCTGCAACACGACCATGTCCGCTCCACCTCAATTACAACACCACTACCTAACCTCTACGAACCCCTACACTGCCCCTAACGAAATTCGGGATCGCTACAAAATCCAAAAGTCGCTACACTCGGATTAAAATTATTCTGGGTCTGCTTATCCACCCTATCGAAATCAGCTTTTGGTCAGAATCTTCTTTCGAACTTTATAGTCGCCTGAAAGTATGAGACGAGTTGGCCGAGCCGAGTCATACCGAGCTAGCAAGCTGCAGAGAGGCTGCCCTTTAAACCCTGAGCCGAAGTGGACACAGCGGCTGATTTACGCGCGCTCTGAGTCCTAGGCGGCACCTGTTGCCGAGTCGGGCCAGCATCCAAATTTCTAACTTCCGCTTCCACGAACCTCTCCTCCGCCAGGGGTTCAATACGCACCTCTCCCTCACCATGTGTATACTAGGGGTTCAATACGCACCGACTGCGTATATCTCAGCGCTGCCGAAACGCACGCCGCAAGGGTTCAGTACGCCATCGCTGCGCCCCAGCATGACGAGGCCGTGCGTATAGCTGCTCTGTACGCAGTAGTCGCCCTGCGTCCATACGCCTGGATACCTGCACACAATGTACACAATTGTGCCATACGCC